ACTCAGAATATGCAAACATTACAGATAAAAAGGCTGATTTCATGCAGTGAAGCTGACCGTCTGCTGTAAATTCAGGTTAAGCGTAGAGCTGGGCGATATGGCCAAAAATGTTATCGTGATAAACAAAATTCATATCGTTGCATATCGATACATACCGCGATAAATGTCAAATCATTATTTCTTTCAGGTTTGAAGGCTGATTTTTGGTCCTGGGTGGTTAATCGATGTTTTAAACTATCCTTTACGGTCTGAACACGACAAACACTCAACCAGTGGAACATTTCACAGATCTGTCGTGGGAGAGTGGGACAGTGGGACAGTGGGAGAGTGGGAGAGTGGGACAGTGGGACAGTGGGAGAGTGGGACAGTGGGAGAGTGGGACAGTGGGAGAGTGGGAGAAAGTGTCTGCTGAGCTGTTTTTACCAGCTGGAAAAGCACGGCTATTTTGTAATAGTCATAATTTAAGAAAGAAAACAGATTATTTGAGCTGGTGCCGAGCGCTCAGCTACCCCGCTACACATGACATCACAGTATTCAGACACCAGCTAGACGACTGGGTTTCTCTATACTATCGTAGTAGTTTAAGTGGTGAACCGCAAAACATCAACACCAGACAAACAGAGTCCTCCTTTAGGTACGTTTAAACTGACAGCGGCGCTTTTGTGTCGTGTTTGATCTACAGTATCATCAATTCTCCGTGTTGTGGAGCGACGGAGCTGCTTCAAGTTAGCCAGCTGCTAAAAACAGCTAGCCTGGAAAGATAGCGCTCTCCTGCTCTCCACTGCCTCACAGCTTCCTCAGGTTACTGTCGTGTAAATCAGGGCTGTAATTTACATGAACCACTTCTTTCTTTCACTTTCGTTGCTTGTGAATGCACTAATATTAAATCAGACTGAGCGCTGTAACAGCGCTGTAGTTGTGAGGATTGTGATTTAACGCTGCTAAAGCTGTTAGGATGTTAGTAAAGAGGTGAGGTCACTGTAGGTCAGTACAGTTACGCCACTGACCTCCTCACTCAGGCTCGGTCACAGGAGGACAGATCGCCTGTTGCTCCACTCAAACAGGGAATGTAACTCCGCGTTTCAGCCGTTGCTAAAGACTCATCTTACTCGTCGCCCCTCCCTCTCTAATCATGTAGAAAAACTCAGAAGTGCGCCCTCTCCTGGCGACAGCATAGTAGTGTCGCTTTCCTTGCAGTAGAAAACGCCACCAAGGCTTTCGCTGAACGTGGAAGTGTGAGAATGGTGTATTATATTGATCGAACATGTCGTTTCGCTCTATCGAGGAAAAGTTATATCGTGATAATTATTGTTATCGTTTTATCGCCCAGCCCTAGTTAAGGGTGATGATGATGACCCACTGCATTCACTTCAGACAGAAAGATAAACAGAGTAAACAAAACAGCTAATTTAGATGTTTTTACATCTCTTCTGCTCTTTTCTGGACTGAAGGCGGAGCTTATCTCCATCATTTAGACCGAGATTTCTTATCCTATGTGAATCACTTAAGCAGTAGAACCCGAGAGGGAGTGTAATCGTGAAATAACATCACGGCTGTGAATTGGTTATTGGCGATAACACACTCCTCGAGTGTTCTATTGCTTTAATACAACAGTTAAATAAATACAGTAATAAATTAATAAACTGGGCCGTGAACGCGGCGTTTAATATGTTTTAATGTTCGCAGTTCCTTCACCAAATTATAGTTCCTTAACGAGCAGCTTGTTGCTACGTCAGAGTAACGAGCTCCACCCACTCGCTGCACAGCCAGCAGTAAGCCTCGCCTTTTGAAGTACAGACTGAGCCTTAAAACTGCCGCAATATCAAGTTCAGCTCAGTTTTGTCAGTTTTTGCCAGATCAGTATTAATGTTGTTTTGTTCCAGCCAGTCTGTAAAGCATCTTACAGCCCGTTTAGTTTGGCGAATGGTGTTGGGTTCATTTCTGGCTGATTCCAGGTTGTTCAGCTGTTCTTCTGTCTCAGCTGCCGACTGAAAAGCTGCTCAGTGGTGATGACAGTTTGGGAATTTAGTGTTGTCTCATCTTCAGAGTCTGACCAAATTGGCTGTCGGTCAAATGTGATCTTAAAAGTGTCCGTTTTCTGTTTGTGGCAAAGTAAAGAAGTAAAAACGTTCAAATGTCTTGAGCGTCTCCTACAGCTGTCAAAGTCGTTGCTTAGCAACGGCGTCTCCGCAGAGTGATACCGTGTTTGTGAAAAGAACACTTCTTAACCAATCAGCTCGCGTGGCCGGAACTAACTGTTGTATAATCCTAAACATCACAGACGTCCTGAGGTGAACTGGTATCACCCTGAGCACGATCAGGCTAAGCGTTCTAGTTCTAGAACACAGAGGCAGGCTAGCTAAATGTTCTACTTCTAGAACACAAGGGACATTAGCTAAGGTAGTAAACTGTCACCGGGGCAGTGCCCCTCTTGTCACTGGGGTGGAACCCTTAAGGGTCCATCTCAGTACCTTCTGATCTGATGGTTCAGACTGAGTCACCGTGTATCAGATACGTATCAGATTTCAGTCCCACAGATGAAAGGCCGAGTTCAGACTGTCAGCCCAATATGGTTCCTGTCATACCCAGATTTTACTCAGATTGAATGTTGATAGACAGCAAAAAACACATGAAATCCAATTTTTGCAAATCGGATCCAATCCACATTGTAGAACCCTGTTTGAAAAGGGTTCTGCTATTGTGTACGACGTCAAGCTTGTATACAATAGAACGACACTATCTGGTGCAGCATAGAATATACAACACATTCTGACACACAAACTGTTCAACTGGTCTGAATCCATCTTTTCTATGATCCACCCAGTTCTTCAGTGTTCTACACTCCTAAAGAAGATGGTTCTTCAAGGGTTCTTTAGTAAAGACAATGATTCTACACAAAACCACAAACACCCATTGAACTATTTTCATTATTAAATGATTTGCATGGTGAAATGTTTTTTTAGATCGATGGAAATGTGTTGTATATGGTTCCATGTAGAACCCTTTTGAAAAAGGTTCTATATAGCACCAAAACGTGTTCTGCTATTGTGTATGATGTCAAGCTTGTATACAACAGCAGAACCCTTTTTGGTGCTTTATGAAACCATATACAACACACTCTCCATCAATCTGAAGAACCATTTCACCATGCAAATGGTTCTACACAGAACCACCGTCTTTACTAAAGAACCCCTAAAGAAGAGTGTAACGTATTTAACACAGTAAGTGTATAATATCACTACACTGTCCAGCCCTGATGAGCCGGCCGTTATATGAGAAAGAGAAAAGTGTAAACACGCCCAGATCAGCGTCCACAGCGGCCGGAACTCATTACAGAGGCTGAAAGTGCTAAATACCTTCAGGAAGCCGGAACGCTCTGGAACCCTGGATGTTAATTGAGAACACACTGATGTGTAAACATCGTTACGGCTGCAGTTGCTCTCCGACCGACGTGTTTGTGTGGAAGCAGCTGAGAGACGGAGAGGAACTCCGAGACCAAACACTGAGACGGCACACGCAGACGGACGGACAACACCGAGAGCTCACAGTCCTGCAGCACCTTCACTGACCCCGTCAGCAGAGCGGAGAACCTGGAGGACCATCTCTGCTCTCCAGCACGTTTTCGGTAGAACAACATCACAACGCAACATCATCAATATTCATTTCGGTTTTCCCTTTTCCTTTCTTCAGGAATGTTTGGGAACATGACAGGGATTTAACAGAACTGTGGAACTCATTATAATCCATATCAGCATTTCTGACATCACAGTTATTACAGCATAAATCTGTATTACACTGACGGTGCGTCCTGCAGCGCGCATATCTAATATTAATGAATATTCATATGTGCATAATAACTCCCCTACAGCACCGACAGCGCAGAACACTGCTATATGCAAACGATCCCCAAACAATCGCCAATCACAGCGTTTGTTTACTGAGTGCTGAGAGAATCACGACCAACGAGCTTCTGTGGTGTTCTAGTTAATCAACCTCACCACAACCCTAGAACACAAGGGCACGCTAGATAAGTGTTCTAGTTCTAGAACCCAAGGGCATACTAGATAAATGTTCTGGCTCTAGAACACAAGTGCACATGAGCTAAGTGTTCTAGTTCTAGAACACATAGGTACACTAGCTAAGTGTTCTGGTTCTAGAACACAAGGACACACTAGCTAAGTGTTCTAGTTCTAGATCACATAGGTACACCAGCTAAGTGTTCTACTTCTAGAAGACATAAGTACACTAGCTAAGTGTTCTGGTTCTAGAACACAAGGGCACATTAGATAAGTGTTCTGGCTCTAGAACATAAGTGCACACTTGCCAAGTGTTTTACTTTTAGAACACAAGGGCAAGCTAGCAAAGTGTTCTAGTTCTAGAGCAAAAGGGCACACTTAAGTGTTCTAGTTTTACAACACATGCACACTAGCTAAGTGTTCTGTTTCTGGAATATAAGGGTACAACTAGCTAAGTGATCTGGTGCTAGAACAACAAACACATACTAGCTAAGTGTGCTGGTTCTACGATATGAGTCTGCACCGGCTAAGCACCCAAGTTCTAGAACACAAGACAGAAGGACTGTAGTTATGGGGCATAAGAATCCACCAGCTAAGCATCCCGGTTATAGAACACAAGAAACAAGGGCACACTAACTCAGTGTTCTAGTAAAAGAACACAAGCACACGCCATCTACGTACCCTGGTTTTAGAACATACGCGTGTACTAGCTAAGCGTTCTACAACACAGGAACACTTGCTGAGTCCAGCGCTGGGTGATGGAGGCGCGTCTAAAACTTGTTAAAAGTGCTCCACGAGTTCTACAAGTGCGCACTCGTTAAGTATTCTGGTTCTAGAACGCACTGCAGTATCACAGTACTGCGGGGTTGCGGTGCTACAGCGTCACTGTCTGAGCTGAGCGGAGTTACTGTCGTTATTCTCGGTGTTATTGGAGCGCAGCCCCGCAGGCCGAGCCGAATCCCCGGCGTCGCGTTGAGCACTCACCCTCCAGCGTCACCTCCTTGCCGGCCTTTTTCAGCGCCTGCACCGCCTGGTCGTGCGTGGCTTCGCGGAGGTCGCTCCCGTTCACGGACAGGATGGCGTCTCCCACGCGCAGCGCGCGGCTCTGATCCGCCGCCAGCCCGGGGAAGATCTTGGAGATGAGGATCGGCATTCGGTTCTCTCTGCCGCCCTTAATGCTGATGCCCAGCCCGCCGGACTCCTGCTTCACCACCCGCACTCTCCGCACGCTCTCCGCCGCGCTCGAGTCGCTGCCCGCGCCTCCTCCGTCTCCGTGTCTGGAGCTGAAGCTGGACCCGGGGCTCCCGCAGCCCGAACCGGGACTCCCGTACTCCGAGCTGGTCCCGTTATCGCGGCTCAGCCTGCCGGAGCCCGGGCTGCCGTATCCGCCGGGCTTTAAGTGTCCGTGGTTGGGCTGGAGCTCCGGGTTTGGGCTCCGGAGCCGGTTCTGCTCGCCACTGAGCTCGTTTCCGTTAGACAGCCCGTTCCTGAGCTCGGCGCCGCTCCCGCTCGCCTCCCCGTTGGCGCTCAGCGTTAAAGTGTCCCGGCTCAGTTCGGCCGTGACCCGGACCCAGCGCTCCCGCAGCAGCAGGTCCAGCTGACCGTTCTTATCCGCGCGAGTCCAGATGGCCATGATCACCGCGCGCTCTCAGTCCGAACTCATAATAATCCGAGTTTGGGTTCTAGTTTAGTTCTAGTTTCTTCCCTCGTGTCACTTCTAGAACTAAACTCTTCAAACTCGACACACCCACAACCAGCCAGAGTTACACTGTTTACCCCACCCGTATTCCGGCAGGCCCCGCCCCTGCTGCGCTCTGATTGGCGAATAGTTATCCATCCCAAGCAGACGCCCGCTCTGTGGGCTGATGGTGTGGAAAAAGGGCAAGTCCGACCAAAATAAAACACCAACTTAGTACGCACTAGCTAAACATTCTAGCTTTAGAACACTATATATACTGTCTACGTATTCTAGTTATACACAACAAGTGCTAACTAACTCTGTGTTCTAAGATCTAGAACATTCTAGATTTAGAAAACAAGTGTGTACTATAAGTGTTCTAGTTCTGGAGCACAAGTGCACACTAGCTAAGTGTTGTAGTTCTAGGACACGTAAATGCACCAGCTAAGCAGTCTAATTTAAGAACATGAGTGTGCACTGGCTAAGCATTCTAGAACACAAGCATGTGCCAGCTAAGTGTACTTTTCTAGAACACAAGTATGCACTAGCTAAGTGTTCTGGTTCTAGAACACAAGTGCACACTTGCTAAGTGTTTTGGTTTTAGAACATGAGTGTGTACTGCTAAGCATCCTAGAACACAAGTATGTGCGTACTACGCGTTCTAGTTTAAGAACACGAATGTGCTAGCTGAGCATTCTAGGGTTAGCGTTGCTTAAACCCTGCAGTGAGGACAGTGTGTAGGGCTGAAGGCCAGGTATCACGTCTATCTGGTGAATTTCTTTATCATCGAGTTGGGAATTAAAATGGTTGTGTGATGTAATTGTGTAATGCATGCTGGGTAATGTAGTGACAGAACACTGATGGATAAAAAATTAAATAAAGCATGCTTCATTACAGAATATTACACGACACAACAAATGAGAAATGAAATGCTTGTTTTAGGCCTGAACACTCAGGTTCTAGAACATAACATGTGTTGGTTCAGCTCCTGGACTGCTTTACTGTTAAAGCGCTCACTGCAAAGATTTAGCTTTTTATTTTAGACCAAAGGATCCAAAATAGAGAAGAATAATAAACCCAATAATAAACTCCAGTTCCTACACTGATTCTTGTTCATCAGCTTAAATGGTGCTGCTGTTACATTCCAGCACCTGAGGCCAGCTTCTTATTCTAATTTTCCATTCCACCTTAAATGGTGCAGCTGTTACATTCTGGCACCCATTTAAGGTGGGACAGGAAATTAGAATAAAAAGCTGGTGAATCACAGCACAGGTAGGCGTGTTCAAGTGCGGCAGCTACCTCAAGAGCAGCCAATAAATGAGCCACAGATTTACATACTAATGAGCGAGGCGGAGTTTCTTCTGTTTGTGCTTTGGCTTTTGTACCTCTGAGCCTGATAAACTTTAATTAGATGTATAAAAATTGCCAATAGTTTATGTTTCAGTTGTTAAAGTTGCCATGAGTGATGGGGGAGCTGCATCTGCTGCATTAATTGGCTATAAGAGCATTATAACTGCCTGCTTTTCCGAGTCATCCGATTGGGTTTGGGCCAGATTAAAGCCCTTAAATAGCCAATAGGGTGTCAGTTGTCAGGATTTTAGTGCGTCCAGAAGGCAGGCCTGAATAAGCTGCTGTAGGCTGGCTGATGTTCACTGTAGGTGGGTTATAGTGAAAGTGACAGTCTGCTCCACACCTGCTCTGCTCCTCCCTCCCTCAGACCTCACCTCTTCCTGTTTTTGCAGTTCGTGGGAGGAGTCCAGCTAACTCATACTGTCTCACAGTTACCACAGCAACCACTCACCCACTACCCATGAGTCATCATGAGAACAATGCAAACTCATTACATCTCAGTAAAGGGTGAATATGCACTTCATAAATGCAACATTAGTGTGTTCCTTCACCAAACTAGAGTGCAACTGATTTTCACCAAATTCAGGTCTATTATAATGCAATATTTGCAACTTTTCAACAAAGTACAACATATAACTCAATATTTCATTAAATCATAATATAAAACAATATTTACAAATAAAACTTGCAAGTGTTTACCAAATTAGTATTATATTAGTATTAATTAAGTATTATAATGCAATATTTGTCATTTAACTAAATTACAACCCTGTTTCCAAAAAAGTTGGGACACAAAATGTACATAAAACCAGAATCTAACAATGTGTATATCATTTAAACCTTGTATTAGATTGACAACAGACAACATATCAAACGTTGAAACTGAGAAATTTTATTGTTTTTTGAAAATATATGCCCATTTTAAATTTGATGTCAGCAACATGTTTCAAAAAAGTTGGGACGGGGGCCTGTTTACCACTGAGTTTCATCACCTCTTCTTTTAACAACACTCTGTAAGCGTTTGGGAACTGAGGAGACACTGCTGTAGTTTAGAATGTTTTGAAATACAGGATTTCAGATGCTCGACAGTTCAGGGTCTCCTTTGTTGTGTTTTTCATTTCATAATGAGGCACATATTATCAGTGGTGACAGGTCTGGACTGCAGGCAGGTCAGTTTAGCACCCGGACTCTTTTAATACGGAGCAATGCTGCTGTAATACATGCAAAATGTGGTTTGACATTGTCTTGCTGAAATAATCAAGGCCTTCTCTGTAAAAAGACGTCGTCTGGATGGCAGCATATGTTGCCAAAACCTGTATATATCGTTCAGCATTAATGGTGCCTTCACAGATGAGCACGTCACCCATGCCATGTGCACTAATGCCCCCTATACGATCATGAATGCTGGCTTTTGAACTGTGCTCTGATAACAAGCTGAGTGGTCTTTAGCCCGGAGGACACAGTGTCCATGATTTCCAAAAAGAATTTCAAATGTTGATTCAGACCACAGGACACTTTTCCACTTCCCTCAGTCCATTTTAAATGAGCTCAGGCCCAGAGAAAGTGGCAGCATTTCTGGATCCTGTTTATATTAGATTTTTTTTCTTTGCGTTTTTGAGTTTTAACTTGCATTTGTGGATGCAGTGATGAACTGTGTTCACAGACAGTGGTTTTCAGAAGTGTTTCTGAGCCCATGCAGTGATTTCCTCTACAGAATCATGTCTGTTTTTAATGCAGTGCTGCCTGAGGGCCCAAAGATCACAGCCAGTAAATACTGGTTTTTGATGATATTATGTACCGTAGATGATGAAATTCTTTGTTATTTTCATTAACTGAAATGTTCGTCTTGACTTGTTGCACTATTTGAAGGTGCAGTCTTTCACAGAGTGGTGAACCCCTCCTCATCTTTACTTCTGAAAGACTCCGCCTCTCTGAGATGCTATATAGATGATATACCCAATCATGTTACTCACCTGTTGTCAATCAACCACCAGGTGTTTTTTTTAGCCTTACACAACTCTACCAGCATTTTGTTCGCCCGTCCCAACTTTTTGGAAATTTTTTTTTCAAAAAATAATAAAATTTCTCAGTTTCAACTTTTAATATGTTGTCTTTGTACTATTTTCAATTAAATATTGGGCTCAAATGATTTGCAGATTATTACATTACATTTTTATTCACATTTTGCACAGTGTCCCAACTTGTACAAGGCAATATTTGGAATTTTCACCAAAGTATAGATATTATATTACAATATTTACAAATTATCATTAATAAATAGTGTATTAGTGTACAATATTTGCACATTTTCACAAAATTATGGTACTATAATGCATTTTTTCCCTCATTACTGAATTAAAGTACAGTAGATGAGATTGTGTGATGATGGGTGTGTGAACTCAGTCAGTGTTACAGATGATAATCCTCAGTGAAGAGTTTGTGTACAGTAACCTGCAGTGGCCTTAATCTCTCCTTCAGCACCAACACACAACACCTCACCTTAGACTTCACACATTCTCTAATCCACAGCGCTCAGCCTTTAACTCAACACAAACATAATAACACAGAAACGTGAAGGGCACCAGAGTCATAAAGTCTTATTACCATAATTTAATGCTGTATTGCTGATTATTAGTAATCAGGTAATCTGCCGATTATTTTGATGATTAAGTAATCGGAGTTAAAAAAAACACTAAAATGGACAGATATGTAACAACTTTATTAACTAATATCGTTAATCTATTTATAAACTGATATCAAACTATGCAGAATCTTCCAAAATATGACTTCATAAAAAATTATAAATCTACAGTAGTTTAGCCCCGCCCACTCATCCTAAAGCAGTTTAGCCCCACCCACTCAGCCTACAGCAGGTTAGCCCCGCCCGTTCATCCTACAGCAGTATAGCCCCACCCGTTCACACTGAAGTGAGGGTTTCAGCTCTGAGTACTTCCGAATGAGGCACAATGCAGGGCAGCCAATCAGTACAGTGCTCGTTCACATATATCAGTCTTAAAGGCACAGTAACAAAAACTATGAATTATGAATTATGAATACATTTTTGGTACAAAAACCTCAGTGAAGCATTTTAGGAAATACATAAGGATATTTTGGAAAACAGGATGTGGGTCCAGAGAACAAACACAGACACACTGACGTCTGTTTGGACTTTGATTTATTGCAGATCTACAGCGTTTACAAAAGAAGAGCAGATTGCACAAGACCGTGAGTGGAGCTTTCAGCTGCAGCGGGGGGGTTCAGGTGTCTGGGTGCGCGTGGGTTGATGGTGATTTCGGTTCTCTCTGCCACTAGAACTGGCTCCACGTCCTTAAGGATTTCGGTCCCTGATACATTCAGCCAATAGGACAGAGTAACATACTGAAGACACAGTACAGTATATTCTGTGTGAGGCTGGAATAGATCAGCAGCGTAACGCAGCGTATTCCATCCTCATTAAGGGACATTCCGGCTCCAAACGGAGCACCTTAGGAGTTAAAGACGCTTCTGAGCAGCTTCTGACGCCTCAGCGCTCATCGCTCTATCCCACGGGGGGGTTTTCGCTCTGACCTGCTCAGAGGGGCGTGGTCACGGACGACCCATTTACTAATGTTACATTCAAGCTAAAACAAGGCAACAGCAACACTAAACCTGAATCCTCTCCTGTGGGCCACGTCCGACTCAACAATCTGCGTCCAGCCCGCTGACCTCAGGGTCAGGGGTCAGGATTCAGGGTTCAAGGGTCAGGCAGGGATTTGGTGGCCCACATTCTTGCGTGTCTCCCAGCAGGGCGGAAACGCTAACACACCTAGCTACAGCCACACAGACCACGTCTCAGGCAGACACTAGTTAGCTAGCTAGCAAGTTAGCTAAGTTAGCTAGCTGGCTAAATGGCGGTGAGGTAGCTAACACCAACGCGAGGTAAAACTCTGAAAATAAAGCTGCTGTTTGTTTCAACTTAAAATCAAATGTTCATGTTTATTAGCTAGCTGGCTAGCTAACTAGCTAACGTGTTGGAGGAGGTAGCTACCCTAACACTTTCATGCTAAAGGAGCAGCTCCCATCAGTCCGCGGAGCTGCAGTTAGATACTGCTGAACTCATTAGCTCTGGGGGAGGGGCTTACTGGCCCAGGGGCGTGTCTGGGGGCATGTCATATGAGGGAAGCCCAGCAGAGCACCAGTCAGTCTCTCCCTTAGTTTACTCCACCTCTCGGGTAGTGTTCGGGGGTGTGGCTGTGGGTGTGGCGGGGGCGTGGCTTCTCTCTTTTGGGGGTGTTGTTGATGATGTCGAGGCTGCGGCGGCTGGAGGAAATGACATCAGCAACGAACTTGGTGCACTCGGCGCAAACGTCCCTCAGACTGCAGCCGCCGGCGTAGAGATACGGAAACTCCTCTTCAACAGAGCGTCTGGAGAGAGAGCGCAGAGACCTGAGAGAGAGAGAGACAGAGAGAGAGAGAGACAGAGAGAGAGAGAGACAGAGAGACAGAGAGAGAGAATAGAAAGAGACAGAGAGAGACAGAGAGAATAGAGAGAGACAGAGAGAGAGAGAGATAGAGAGAGAGAGTAGAGAGAGAGAAAGAGAGAATAGAGAGAGACAGAGAGAGAGAGAGACAGAGAGACAGAGAGAGAGAATAGAAAGAGACAGAGAGAGACAGAGAGAGAAGAGAGAGAGACAGAGAGAGAGAGTGACAGAGAGAGAGAGAGACACAGAGAGAGAGAGAGAGAGAGACAGAGAGAGAGAATAGAGAGAGACAGAGAGAGACAGAGAGAGAAGAGACAGAGAGAGAGAGATAGAGAGAGAGAGTAGAGAGAGAGAACAGAGAGAGAATAGAGAGAGAGACAGAGAGAGAATAGAGAGAGAGAGAGAGAGAGAGAGAGACAGAGAGAGAGAATAGAGAGAGAGAATAGAGAGAGAGTGATAGAGAGATGAGAGAGAGAGAGAACAGAAAAAGGGAGAGAGAGAGAGAGTGAGAGAGTGCAGAGAGATAGATAGACAGAGAGACAGAGAGAAAGAGAGAGAGAGAGAATATGATTGTTTTTTCAGGTGAAGTCTGCATCCGTGCTCCATGCCTTTACGTTAAAGCTGTGTTCCAGTGTAACTCTACAGTCTACAGTTTTTGATGAAAAGCTGAATTTTTCTGCTTAACAGAAATGAAGAGTTTGATTTAAAATGTAAACGTGTTATAGTTTTAAAGCGCACCTTCACTCCAGTTCATATGTGGAAACTAAACTGACTGAGCAAAATTCTGCAGAGGAGTCCTCCTACATGACCAGTGAGCCCTACAAACAACCACAGTCACACCTGACGGCCCAGTGCTCCCACTACAGTCCACCAAGAAGCTCTTAGGTCAGGTGAGGGAGTTTCAGTGGTGACGAGGCTGAAGTTGGTTTCCCAATTGCATTTTCCAGTTCCACCTTAAATTGTGTAGCAGTTCCATTCTGTCACCTGAAAGTAACTACTGCACCATTTAAGGTGGAATGGAAAAAATCGAACAAGATGCTGAGGCGCCAGAATGTAACTACTGCACCTTTTAAGGTGGAACAGAAAAATTTGAACAAGACGCTGAGGCTTCTGAATGTAACTGCTGCACCATTTAAGGTGGAACGGGAAAATTCAGCTTCATGGAGAGCTGACAAGTGTGAAAATGGATGAGGAGGTTGCTCTGTTTCAGCTTGGGCAAAATTAATTTATTTCACAGAACCAGTAGGTCATGGTGTTTCTTCTTTTTTCGTGATGGATTGCTCCGCTCCATCCTCTCATCGCAGTTGTAAATAATAAGCAGCTTTGACACGAGGGGGAGGCGGGGCCTGGCTTAATTTGAGGGTCCCTATGCGACATGCCGAATGGCTCTGCTGACAGATTACATAAAGCAGCATCCTAGCCCTGCTGAAAAAAGACCATCAGAAACATCAGGATGGAAACCTGATGATTTCGCTTTCTAATGGGCACTGGCTTAATCACTACCATTAGAGACCACCAGCTTCTGTAGGGCACCTTTAGATTCGATTAGGAAACCATCAATCAATCAATCAATCAACCTTTATCTAATCTCGGAGAACACTGAGGGTGACCCTCATTTACAATGTTGCAGAGTTGATACAGAACAAGGGATTGATAATGTTCAGAACATATAAAAAAATAAAAGTAAATTTAATAAGTAAAAAAGACTCAAATCAGGTAAGTATAAAAAAGTGAAACATTAATAATAAAAATACAATAAAAAATATAAAACAGTAATTGAAACATAGCTAAAATGTAAAGGTTAATAAAATCAAATCAAAATAAAATAAGAGGAGAATAAGAAAAAAATGCATTAATTAATTAAAATAAGAATATGAATATGAATAATAATAAATAAACTAGCACATAAAAATGGTAAAAAATCAGGTAAAACAGTTGCAGGCAGAGTGGAGGTGGTTAGAGAGTAAAAGTTTAAATACATCAAATACATCTGGAATCAGAACACCAGTTAAACCATTAGAGTTCTTGACACTGTGATATCAGCCCATCAGGAAAACACAAAATACCATTAGTGACCACAGGACTCCTCCAGGAGCCGGCAAAGACTTTTAATGGCTTCTATGATTTTTTTCAGCAGGGAGGTCAAACGGATACATGAGTGAATGAGACGTAATCACTCTTGATCATAATTCACAAACACAAAGACGCACCTCTGGCTGTTTGTGGGCGGGTAAACCTGCGTACACCCATCCACCTCATCACACTTCAAAAGAGAAGTCACGAACTGCAAAGCAGGCTACGCTGCCTTTAGCCTAGCGGCGTCTCTGCTAGCTCCAGAGAGACCTGAGTGGTCGGCTAACGTGGGGGCGCCCTGTCACTTCCACTGCGCTTCAGGACGCAGCAGAGCTGCATCTAGAGGAACAGCAGCTCTTGCGTAAGCCCTGCTGAGTGGCTCAGATGGAGGGGGCTATTACATAAGCACGCTTAGGGACCTGTGTGATGGGCAGTTATTAGGCCGCCTGAACTGCAGCTCATTAAAGCCTGCCTGACACTTCAGCGCTCGCTCCGCGCTGCCGATCGGACAGCCGCGACTCACTTGTAGACCTCGCTCCGGTGTCCGTGGCTCCGGGGGCTGCTGTGGAAGCCCACTGTGTAGACCGGAATATGGGCCATCTTTTTGGAGGGCATCTTCATCTGAGACAGGAGAGAAAAACAACCAGTGAAGGAGGGCTTCACTTCTAAACGCTAACGCGGCTAACAATGAGCGAAAGCTCGTGGGGGCCAGTTAGCATGATCACATTCGCGTAATGCTCCTAACAGGGGCGCGGGAAGGGGCTTTAAGCTGGGGGTGCTTAATCTTAAGCAGTATTTATACGACGTTAATGGTGACGTCACACAAAATGATTTGTCTTTTTTCATTTTAATTTTTTTGATTTGAATTTACATCATCAGGACGTGTCATAATGTGCTGCTATACCGCGGCGAGAGACGACAACACACTCGCACAACTGACACACTAAACTGCTGATGTTTGGCTGCTGTCGCAACTAAACCTTCTATATCCTTTTTTTTGTCATTTTTCAGTTTTTTGCCATAATTTGAAAACGCCTGTTGTCCTTTACACTGTGTGTAAATTTCATGATGAATGGACCCAAAGAAACTGAACAAAATGACTCGGAAAAGTCTGGTTCCATTGACTTACATTAAAGGTAGAGTGTGTTTTTCCTTCTCCTTTCCTGATCCTTTTGGAGATGCGAGGTTTTGTTCTGACAGCAGCCATTTATCTCTCTGCTCTCTCTCCTTCTTTATTGAGAACTTTCTGCAAATGAGTTGAGTGAAGTCCAATCATATTGACATGTGGTGCGGTAACCAACTGTGTCACGCCCACAGTCACACACTCTAACGGGCGCCGAGCAGGAGATATAACGGTTGATAAAGACGAATGTATTAAAAGCGTTGGACATCATTGTGGGTTTTTAGTTTAAAAACAATAATTTGGAGCTTTTGGGCTCAGAAATGTCCTACAGCTCTGCACACTCTCCCTCTGTGCTCCTCAACCTGTCTGTGTTTTAGTGACGCGCCCCTAAAGCGGCCAGCAGGGGGCGAGAGAGTCCATTAGGCTCACAATAATGAAAATACAGTGTTAATGTAAACAGTGCAGCTACTGCAGGTTTTTAAAATCTATAAATAAAAACACAAAAATACAAACTCCACTCAGATATACAGACATTGATCTTTACTATGTTCAAACTGTTTCAAGCTCAGATCTTTTTTATTTTCAGCAGTTAACCAACCTTAAAACCTTCCCGCGTCTCTGCCTTCTAACTTACATAAATATAAATATTAACTTATTAGATGAAAAAAGCAATAGTTTGGTGAAAAATCACGTTTTGTGAAAACAATAGTTTGATGAACACTCAAAGTTACCTCATATGTATCGATCAGCCCTGAGGCTAATGTAGCTAACAAGTACACTTAATGAAAGAACACCCAATTAAAGGACGGCCGCCGCTAATGTTTTTAGCTGTGCTAACGTACTTTGGTCCACGTTTATAGATAATGGTAAATCAGAAACCACATAATCACGTCTAGATTACTGATCACCTCCACACGGTTTGAGGCACTTAGTGTGAAATTATTCAGGCTAGCAGTTAGCACCACGCTAATTGGTATAAGATTACTTGTTAGCTACATTAGCCTTGCAGCTAATCCAAACACTAAAGAAGCTAATCTCAGACACGACGCCGTTTCAGCACTGCCTCCTCCTTGGCTAGGCTAGCAGGTGATCATATTAGCCAGCTGCAAACTTTGTAATGCAAAATGTTTTTTGAGAACCATGAATTACGCATATAAACGTTGCGCCAGCTTCATCTGGCTTTTAGCTTTGGTTTAAAGCTGTACTGTATCCTTTCTTTCTGTTGTTGCAAGCTGTGTATCCTTCAGCTTGCTAACAAGCAGGTTAGCAGAGTAACGAAGCTGTATTAGTCGTGGATAATGGAGCCGTTTACTACATGAATCCCAGTTTAAACACAGCAAAAATACTTTATACTTTTGAAATACTAAGTATTTAACAGCTTATTAGCAGTTTTTTTTTTTTTTGGATTTTTACCCAATTTTCTCCCCAATTTAGTCGTCTCCAGTTCCACCCGCTAGTTAGGACTCCCCCAATCACACATGACGCTATCAATGCTAGGAGGGTGAAGGCTACACAGGCTTCCTCTGAGAGGAGTGAAGCTCCACGGCTTCTTTTCGAGCTGCCGCTCACCCAACGTCACTGGACAGCCGAACGCGCTCGGAGGAAAGCGCCAACCGCCAGATCTGTTACGTCAGCTAACAGACGCCTGCGCTGACTAGCATCGCGCTGAGTGATGGGGGGAGAAGGAGGGAACATCCCACCCACCCAGAGAGAGCGAGGCCAATTGTGCTCTCTCGGACTCCCGGCTACGGACGGCTGTAGCATCACCAGGGATCGAACTCGCGATCTCCTGATGAGGGACAACGCTTAGACGGTTGCGCCACTCGGGGGGCCGAGCTTATAAGCAGTATTGTCTGACATTTTTGGGGGGTTGAAAAGGAAAATGCGTTAGACTGCAACAACTGGGCACGTTTAGCTGCTGAAGTAGCGGCGGGTGATCTGGCAAAAGAACATCATGATACCTCACGACATTTTCTCAATGCATGATATGCATCTCGTTATTAGTCCTGCCGAAAAGGTTCTTTGTGTGATGCCATGGAATAGGGTGACCAGACGACCCTGTTTTCTGGGGACAGTCCTCGTTGTTGGTGGCCTGTCCCGGCTGGGAGCTGCCCCCCTGAAATTTCCCCATTTTAAACTATGAATTAAAAACACACCAGAAAGTCCTAAGAAAGATCTGCAGCAGAGCGGATGGACAGACATCTCACGCTGTGTTTATTTTGGCCTGCAGAGGGCGCTGCTGCTACTGACCACTTCTACCACTCACTCGGCTAGTTTTAGAGAACGCTGCTGTGTAAAACTCCACCAGCTCACAAGAGTCCAGCGAGTCCACAACATCACCACAAACGTCTTTTCAGGTTTCGAGGTGACCCGGGGTTAAAGCAGGGGTGGAGTTACGGGACTGAGTCGCTCCACCAGCTGATCGGTGGCTCTGATTTGTACAGACAGACAGTCTACCTGAATGTAGTACGATGAGATCCACAAACAGAGCATCATTTTAATATGTGCCACTTTTTCAGCCTCCATATCTGACATATGGCGCATGCTGACAGCGTCTCTGTCTGTCCAGAACTGGAGCTTCCCAGGGGGGAGTTTAGGGTCTGGATACTGGGGCTACAGCCATGGGGCTTTTTTCATAGTTTACCATACACTGTGAGAATAAAGGTTCTGTGCAAGGTAAAAACAATGTAAATGTTCCCTCAACGGTACAATAATGACTTTAGGGTTCAATTGTGTTTCTTCCTTTTCATAACCGAATGTTTTAAACAGAACAGTAAAATAAAAGCCTGGAGACGAGACGGGGTGTGTGGAGTCAGTACAGCTTAGAACATATCATTTCAGTGGATTATGGTTCAGTTATGTTCCCTGACTAAAGGTACTGAGATGGAGCCTTGAGGGTTCCACCCCAGTGAAACATTAGTACCTTTTATTCCGAGAGTGTAGCTTCACTGTACGATTCTCTGAGACGGTTTACAAAGTTACTTAGTCAGTGCCCAGTCTTATCAGTCGGCCTTCACCAGAGTTCAGTACAGTACAGCAGTTACCACGTTAAAAATACAGGAAACTGGAACTGAAACCCTATTTTTATTATCATTTATTAAATATATTGGATATTTTAATGATACATTGACCACCGAACTGGAAAAGTCCTTGGTTTTCATTTCAGAGATCTGGTCCCCTTAACATAGAACGATCCACTTTTGGTTCCCTAAATAAACTTTCAATTTATGGTTCTTTTTATGAATGAGATGTGTGAGTGTGAAGAACCATTGTGAAGTGTACAGAGCCTCCAGGTTCGAGGTTCATTAAACCTTCACACTCAGAAATCTCAGACATGGTTCTGTCGGAAACCAAAAGTGGTTCTTCTACGGCATCACTCAAAGAACGCTTGTGACACTTCTTTAACAGTGTTTGATAAGTAGGAACAGACAGCAGTGCAGTATTTAAACTAACAGTTCAATGATTTTTATTAATGTTTCAGACTCTGCACTGCACTAAATCCAATTACACAGGACTAATTCTGCATCTCTTTGTGATGAATTGTGCAGTTCAGTGTTCTTTAAGTATTGATCATGCTCAGAAAGGCTTATTATGACGCAGTTAATCATGATAATGATAAATATCATCATATTGCCCAATGATATCTACATCTAATGAGCTTCACTTGAGCTAATACAGTGGAAAGCAGCATGACAATATATATCATTATTGTGATAAATTATATCGCAATACAGTACTGTATTCTTTTCCATATCCTGTTTATCGTCAGTGCTTACCAAACTGACTAACTGCATGTTTCATTATAACGAGAGTTAAATTAGTCAGTTAATTTAGTGACAAATACTGAATTAAAATCACTGTGTTCACAGTTCTGATAGTATTTTTAATGTAGCTCTGCTTTTTTCTCTGTTCCAGCTGATCAGACGTCTGAGGAAATCATCATGATGTATTGCGTACCATTTGCGTACCAGTTTTTGCCATATTGCCCAGCTGTAGTGGAACGCCCTCTAAGATGACGTTGGGAATTCCCCTGATGGGAAACACCGAGGCACACTGATGAGAGCTTCTTAAAACGAGTACTGAAAAAGGCAGCATGTCTTGGCTGATCTGCTATATTTGGGGTAAACTGAGGGGAATGCTGGGTAATTATGATTTTCTCACCAAACTACAGAGAGTAGGAGAGAAAGTGGTGGGCTGTTTGTAGAGAATGCAGCACAGCAGTTTAGAAAAGTTCACACAAATCCACCACCCACTCACACACACCCACACACACACACACACACACACACACACACACACACACACACAGAAACACAGTTTTACACCAGCACGAACTAAAAGGTCATAGATCACAATCTCACTCATGACGAAACCTCGGGACTCAACCACAAACACACACAGAGAAGGTTTACAGGCAGAGACACCACACACATCATACTGACCACTGCCGCGCTCGTCCACTGTAATGAGCAGCTGATCGTGAAACGCAGTGTGTGACAGTGTTACTACAACGTGCGTAACTGAACATGCAAACTGAGAAAATACTGCATTCAGGAAGAGCAACAGAAAAACTGAGATATGAAAGATAACATACCTTAGCACTGCAGGAGTCACACACAGCCCTGCAATATAACATAATATAACATAACATAGCATAATATAATATAATAAATCACTCATGTGGAAGTTGTATATATATCTATTTATGATTATATATCACAATGAGTTGGGTGTATGTTTTAAAAGTATCAAATATTGGACATGGGCCGGGCGATATGACAACAAATATTGTTATCATTATAAATTATGTCACAATACAACGCTTTTCTGATCACATGGTGTTTATCATCGGTACATTTAGAAAGGGAACAGCTGCATGTTTCATTATAAAGAGAGCAAAATTAGTCAGTTTAACTGGATTTAGTGACAAATACTGAATAAAATCACTGTGTTCAGTTTTTGATAGTATTTTTAATGTAGGTTTTTTCTCTATTCTGATCAGACATCTGAAAAAATAAATATCATGACATATGGTACCTTGGGAAGTGAAAATATGTGGATATTATCTAATATTTGTCACATGGAGATTTTTGTATTATAAGATTGTAAAAATATATTACTTTTTTAAAATCATTATATCAAGTAAAATGATCTCACTATACTGGCAGATCATTTTGCTTGTTTTCAGAAATAGCAAAATGATGTGCCAGCACAGTGAGATCATTTTACCTGATAATGTTACTGAAAGCAAGTAAAAAATGTATAAGTATAGTATAAAGTTTATATGATCTTATTATATTCCCACACTGAACTGAAATCTGAAATATTAGACATGTTGACTAGGTTTAGGATAATTTCCTTGCCAAGATATGATTTTTTGCAGTTATATATATGAATCATGTTTTCTGTCATGTATTTGTTAAATATATGTTACACATGTGTTTGTATATTGTTAACATATGGCTGTCCCATGTTTGAAAATGGCCAGTTATATCACATGTATGTCCATAGTTGGATGTAAGAGAAATCCATATATGTTAAAATATGTCACATATCTGAAATTCATGTGTTGCCATATATCAGCTTTATTTATAACATAATATAATATAGTATGATATAATATAAGGTACTGTACTGTAGTGAGTGTGCATTCAGTGACGCAGTGGAGCAGAGAGTGAAAGTGAAACAGATACTCTGGTGACCTGCTAACCTTTTACACAGCAGGCAGGTTGAAGGCCAAGAAAACAGAGGAAACTTCACCCGACAGCAGCAGCAAACCTACAGAACACACAGCACACAGAACACAATCATCTGAATGTTCCACACGTCTCTGGACTGACATCTTCTGAAAATGTTCTAACTAATCACATCAGCTGTTTTTGGATCATTTTACTGAACCGGCTCAGAATCAGAGCTGAACAGCTGTACAAACATAAAAACATCATATTTCTCATTAAAACACTAAAAAGTGCTGAACTGCAGAAAATATGATGATTCTTAATGTTCCACATTGATTTTCAGACTTTGGGACACATTTCTTTGGGATGCAGCCTCACTTCCTGCTCTAAAATACAGGGGCGGGGCTAAAATAAGGCCCTGCCCACAGACTAAAATGCGGGCCAGCACTTTTTATTAAAAAATGAAATTCATGATTAATCTAAATCTTTCAACTTTACTTTGAAAGAAATAAAAATGATCTTTAAAAAGTGGGAAAATGCAAAAAATGTAAGTATTATTTTCAGAAGTGTAAATTTAGGGTTTATGGTTTGGGACAGACTCCCCCAATAAAAAGAACCCTATAAAGGATGATGTTGTGTGTATATATATATATATATATATATATATATATATATATATATATATATAGCTTATTATTATCTCTATTAATGCATTCAGTTTAAATAGATCAGTATATAATCACTGTAAATATCTAAGATCTGAATAATTCACTGTTCCTATAAATAGTTTTACTGTGGGACGCAGTTTGAGCTGGTTTGTTAGAGCGGCCCGTATTCATCATACTAACAATGAACAAGCATGCTTCAGTGTTCTTTAGTGTTCTAGTTCACGAGTGTTCTAGTGTTCTAGTGTTCGTTATGGGTGTAAATTTCAGTCTCAGTCTGTTTACTTTGCTGGTTTAACTCAGTCCCCCCCCACTCAGTTCCCTCCCTCTGGGGACTTCTGGTCAGTTCCACTACTGAGCTATCTAGAACACTCCTGACCATTAGAGAACCGGGGTGGGGGCTGTCTGATGTGAGGGCGGGGGTGGGAGAGAGACCTTGCCCTTCTTCAGGCTGTTGTAGAGCTCTTTATTCTGGAGAAACTTCTCCATCTCAGCCTTCACCAGCACACGGCGCACGCTGATGACCTCATCAACCGTTAAAGCCAAACTCTCCACCGGGTGACTAAACTCCTCCTGAGAGCGAGAGACAGAGAGAGAGAGAGACACAGAGAGAGAGAGAGAGAGAGAGAGAGAGAGAGAGACACAGAGAGAGAGAGAGAGAGAGAGAGAGAGAGAGACAGAGAGAGAGAGAGACACACAGAGAGAGAGAGAGAGAGAGACACAGAGAGAGAGAGAGAGATAATTATTATGAATTATTCAGTATCTACTATTCACTACAAAAATAAAGGGTAAATTCTGATCTGAGGTGAGTAGTTGGAGTTGGATCTGTAGTGTTTAATAAACCTGTTCGTGTGTTTCAGGAGATTAATAACAGTGTTGGGGTTTGATTTAGGGACAGTGTTGAGGTTGGGGTGTTAGGGCTGATGGTGAGTATTTACAGCAGATGCAGTGCTGGAACTGACCATCCACTGGTGGCTGCTGAGACCTGGTGAGGGTCCTGATGCTTCACTGGTTTCTTCCAGTGCGCTGAGAGAGTGCCGGACGGGAGACGGAGGAACCCAGCCTACCACGGGGTAGGAGGCTGAACACAGAACGGAGAACAGCACACACTAAATACTCACAGACCCTGCAATCAGACGCAGACGTGATGAGTAAAATATTACTAAAATTTGGGTGAGTTTTCCCTTAGAAAAGAAAACACACAGACTAGTAGATAGTTAGTAATTACATGTAATATTATTGCACTATTATCAAGTTATAAGAGGATATAAGCGGAATGGAAGTCTGGAGCTGATCTTTGAAGGTTCTGAGGATTCAGTGAGAGAGAACAAAAGGCAATATTCAAAATTTGGAGAAATCTGTGAACAAGAAGCTATCAAATGATAAACAATATACTGTAATTATATATTTACATTATTTTTGTCAAGTTATCTGCCTTGGGACTTGATCTCCACTTATGAAATATGAAGAATTCTGGATATGAATTCATTTTAGACTCTTCTACAGCTCTCATCACGCCGGTGAAGCTGTCCAGAATGAGCAGATTACCTTTAATTAATATTTTACATGTTTATCTACAACCAAACTGATTTATATTGTTCAAAACATTGATTCTAATCATTCTCCCTGAATGAGTTTCTGGCAGTAAGTGATGCTGCGCCCAGTTATCATATGAGATCAGCTCAGTGCCTCCCCCTGGTGTTGATGAAGAGGAACTGCAGTGAGTGAGAGAAGCTGCAAACAGAATCTGAATCCATCCTATGAGCAGCTGCAGCCTGTAGAGATCACTCACTGTTTACTCCTCCAAAACACCAATACACCTTAAAAACAGCACCGCACAAAAGTCAGAGACCATTTACACAACACCCAGTCAAAACAGCCATTAGGTATGGGTCATTTTTCAGGAGATATCTGTGAGGAGATTAGATAAAAGATAATTCACCTGTTTTAGGAGGCAGAAAGTCCAAAACTGGGGTTTAAACACTAAAGCTCCAGAGAAAATGTGTCTCCTAACAACCACCTGGAAGAACTGGTCGACCCTAAAACTGCCCCATCAGATAAACAGCACTTAAAGCTTTCATCTCTGAGAGAGAGGAGAAAATCAAGCTGATCAGATCTGAAAACATCCACAGGTGTTTCTGTCCATCCTTCCACTGTGAGAAGACGACTCAGCGCTGTGGGTCTGAAAGGATGTGTAGCTGATCAAGAAGAACCTCACTGAGAAAAGGAGACGGACACATCAAACAAAGAAGCTGAACGATGGACTGACCACCCCAGAGTCCAGACCTCAACACCACTGAATGTGTTTGATTACTTCAGAAAATGATCAACGAGCTTCTCAGACTGAACTTTGGAGGTGTGCAGATTCTTTGAGGAGCTGAAAGTGAGGCTCTTGAACAGAATGGAAGCTGGAATAAAGGGACAGAGTGACTCACTGACTCACTGACTCACACAGCTGAGAGTAGATTCAGCTGTTGTGTGATTTTCTGTTAAATATGTTTTCTGTTTTTTCCTGATGCTGAAAAATGAATAACTTGGCTGCAAATTAAATAAATCAAGAGTCTCTGACTTCTGCACAGCGCTGTGTGTGTTTTGTTTGTTCTTAATGACTTAACTGACACAGTTACAGGTGTGTGTGTGTGTGATGCTCATACCTCTGTGTGTGTGTGTAGCTCCAGTGAGTGTGTATGAGCGCGGCCTCTCTGTCCGCATACACACACTCTGCTGGGTGGTCTCCCCTCGCAGCTCCGCCAGGTCGTGCTCAGAGAACGAGCGATCGCGCTTCAGAGAACTTTCCACACATGGCAGCTCAGCGGCGTCCGGAGAGTCTTCATCCTACACACACACACACACACACACACACACACACACACACAGAGAAACAAACACAGACACACACACTGTGATAGTGTCGTAATTCAGTGGAATACCAAGTCGCTATAATTTGGATTTGGCCCAGTTTTGCACAGCCTCACATTAAAATCCAGTATTTTTGTTGTCAAGTGTGAAAATGTGAAATTTTACAGTAAATTTGGTGGGGGGGTGTGTTTGGGGGGGTTGGGCTCCAAACTTTGGCACTGGTTTTAGCTTTAGCTCTGGGACTTTACACCATGAAAGCAAAGTTTGATCGAACTTTGTCATAACAGAGGAGCCTGATTGGACCATGAAATAGGGACTTTGCATTGTGACAGCGGAATCTGACTGGGGCTCAAACTGGGGACTTTGAACCACGACAGTAGAGTTTGACTGGGCCTCAAACTGGGAACCTCGAACTTCACAGTGACAGCAGAGTCTGACTGGGCTGCAACCTGGGGACTTTGCACTGCGACAGCAGAGTTTGACTGGGCCTCCAACTGAGGACTTCACACCATGACAGCGGTGTCTGACAGGCTCTTAAACTGGGGACTTTGCACCATGACAGCAGAATTTGACTGGGCCAAGAACCAGGGACTTTGTACCACAATACAGAGGAGTTTGACTGGGCCATGACGCTGAGAATTTGCTCCACGACAGTGGAGTTTACTGTGCTACAACCTGAGAGCAGAGTTTGACTGGACCTTGAACTGGGGGCTTTGCACTGCAACAGTGTAGTTTGACTGGGCCTCAAACTGGGGACTTTGTACCGTAACAGTGGAGCTGACTGGGCCTCAAACTGGGGACTTTGTACTGCAACAGCAGAGCTGACTGGGCCTCAAACTGGGGACTTTGTACCGTAACAGCGGAGCTGACTGGGCCTCAAACTGGGGACTTTGTATCGCAACAGCGGAGTTGACTGGGCCTCAAACTGGGGACTTTGTACCACAACAGCGGAGTTGACTGGGCCAAGAACCAGGGACCGCAATACAGAGGAGTTTGACTGGGTTCTGAGCCAGGGATTTTTATGCCATGACACTGGAGTTTGACTGGACCTCAACTTGGGGACTTTCTGTGAAGTAACACTCCACACTGGAGTTTGACTGGGCTGACTGACTACATCTGGAATAAAAAAGTGCATGAGGGGATGATTTTATCGCTTTAAGGCTGAACCGACTCTCACCTCAAACAGGTTCATCTCCTCCATCTCCGCCAGCGTGGGAGCCTTGAGCAGGACGCGTGGGCGGGGCAGCGGGCGGGGACCAGTCTCTGTGACGGACAGATCAATGCAGGAAGTGGATTTGAGGTCGCAGTGGCAGGCGAGAGCCAAACAGGGCAGGGAGCCGAACGCTGAGGAAACAGAGTGACATCACAGCCATGAACCACTGACCATGCATACACCAATCACAGAGACTGTACACAGCACACTGAGCACCACATAGAGCAGCACGAGCAGCGGTGTAGTCTAGTCTGGAGCTCTGTCTACGCTGGAGCTGCGTTCCTAAAGCCAGGCTGCAGTGGAGAACGGGTCCTCAGCAGCGCTGCCCTGTGAAGACCTGAGGCACCAAGCTTGATACTGTCGGTGAGAAAGACAGTCTGCCGTGTTCGTAAGTAAATGCTTTTCTGTGAGCTAAAGACTGTTTATCTCACCGTAAGCAGGCACATTTACGCTCTCCTAAACAGACACACAACTAAAGACACAGCTCACTGTTTATTTTACTGCCCATTTTAACAATTTGTAATGCAATTTGTGGAGCACTTTTACCATTTATATCAGCTCTCCAAGGAGCAAAATGGGAATTCCATGAATTTGTGAGTGTGAGAGATGTAAACAGAGAGATTCAGAGTGGTTTGGAGTGAAATGGTTCAGGTGTCTTTACAGTGGTGGTGATAGGAACCAGGGGTCGCCATGACTACAACACAGATATAGACATTTTATTTACTATCCAGAACCACCAGTGAACCTACACGAGTCTTCTGAGTTTATATGGAATGTTGATGATGGAAAATAGTAAATTTTAAGGCCAAAACCTTCTCTAAACTATCATAAAACAGTGTCTCAGTCATCAGGCAGTGAATTCATAACCATTTCATGTAGGAACTTTCTGTGAGGGAGCTTTTAGAGGTGGACGTCTGGTTCCTATCACCATCACTGTGAACAGTTCTGACTCGGTAAGTTTATCTAGAACAGAGCGTTTCACACCAAACCACTCTGAATGACTCTGTTTACATCTTAACCATTTAACCCCTCATAGCTAGCCTTCCTTATAAACACAGGCTGATTGTTGATAATCCATGATTACGCATTTTAGAATGCTGACACAAATGAACTGTCGCTGCAGCGATGGAGTTGCTGACGCGGCGGTTTCATCTGTTAACTTTTCTCTTTAAATTTCAGACAAAATTATTTTTTGTGAAGAGCATTTCTTTCAATCCTTACATTTAGAACTGTCCAGATCTAGAAATGCAGACTTAGACAGCCTGGCTTTTGGAACGCAGCCAGTAATCAGAGTTAGTGAGACTAGCCTAGCTAGCTAGCATGCAGCAGTGTTTCTAAAAAACTAGCTATAAATACCTAAAACCCACTAACTTTAACGTTCAACATTTATTCATTTCAAATACACAGAGTGTTTTTCATCTAAAATGACGCGATATTCAGCATTTTCACTTAGTTTTCTAATAGTTTTCTTTATTATATTTGTTTAGGCACCAACTATGCTAGTTAATATAGCTATTGGTACCATAACAGGAGCTCACGTCCAGCAGGAGATAACGTTTATCTGTCTAGCTTTGATATTATAGTGGACATCAAGATTCCAAAGGTCCACTGACTTTTTCCTGCCCCCGGCAACCAGCCTAGCAACCACTGCCCATGTGATTTGCATCTGTAGAACACTTAAAGGTTTTGGCTGTTTAGAATATTAATACATTTCTTTCTTATGTTAAAAACACTTTATACTGTATCACTAAGAACCATATATGCCAGTCTCTTATACATCATGGTGAATTTTTAAACTGTTTTACACACATCCTGCTGGTTTCCTGGTACACAGCGCACACCTGTGTTACGTAGACTACACCTCTGAGCACGACACCCACAAACTCGTACACAGTTCTACACAGCACACCAAACACCAGACGATGGCTCATGCTACAGTTCGTGAGTCTGAAACACACAGAACGGAGGCGGAGACTGACTGCTGCTGATTGGCTAAAGGAGATGATTGACGCACGTCTCTTGGCGCTCTGCGGCTCCACCGGCCGCAGTTTGTGCTCCTGTCGGATCTCCGCCAAAACCCGGTCGTGTAGCGACTGCTGCTGCTGCGGCCGCGGCGGGAGACTGCGCTCAGACACCTGCAAACACAAACACACATTCGGCTAAACGAAACCTGAATCTGCCTAACGCTGCAGGGCCCACTGCTCTCCACAGGTGGCGCTCAAGTTCAGTACGGCACATCAAAAATCTATGACAGTTAAGACTCGTATGCTTGATAAAAAAGTGTCCAATACTACTAATATATCATGTATAGCACATACTCTAATTGCCTGTCCTGAACTGTACCTCACTGGGGTACAATACTGCGGTAGACCAAATGGGTGGAGCTAAACTGCTGTAGGCTGAATGGGTGGAGCTAAACTGCTGTAGGCTGAATGGGAGGGGCTAAACTGCTGTAGGATGAATGGGCGGGGCTAAACTGCTGTAGGCTGAATGGGTGGAGCTAAACTGCTGTAGGATGAATGGGTGGGGCTAAACTGCTGTAGGCTGAATGGGTGGGGCTAAACTGCTGTAGGCTGAATGGGCAGGGCTAAACTGCTGTAGGCTGAATGGGCGGGGCTAAACTGCTGTAGGCTGAATGGGTGGGGCTAAACTGCTGTAGGCTGAATGGGCGGGGCTAAACTGCTGTAGGCTGAATGGGTGTATTCTTAGTGTCACAGCCAAGGTGGTTTAAGTGTTTATTAACGCACACTGTCCCTGTAAGTCTGAACTGAATAAAAAGAGGTAAATATGCAGATCAGCCGTGTGAACTCACTGGTTTCAGTGGTGGTCTCGATCTGATGAAGTCCAGGATCACCTCATGCGCGTTTCGCTTGACGCGAGTGGGGATGTCACCGTCCACCTGAGGGCGCCACAGGGCAAGAAGAGCAAACAGTGAGGAACAGAGGCAGAGTCTATTAAATGCTAAATCAGTGATAGAAGTGAATGAAATCCACTGTGAAAAACACAGTTACTCTGCATTTCACTGCAGTGGTTTCAACATGGCAAAGCTACATGTTCACCAATTACATTCTTCACATGACTCCATGGTCTTCACTGTACTTCTTCGTATGAAATGTACTGACCGTCCAGTCACGGCAAGGCAGTAAAGGAACCGGTCAGGTGTTGTAGGTGGTCAGTGTGCGAGTGAGTGTGAATTCTCACCATGACTTTGCGCAGTTTGTACTTGCGGGTTCGAATGTCCTGCATCAGCATCTCGAACGGAGTGAGGCTGAACTCGGTGGGCAGCGGGTTGAACGGCTGCTCCTCCACTTTCTTCAGCTTTACTCCCTGCCTGAGCTCCTTCATCAGCTGCACCCACAGACGCGCCTGCACACACACACACACACACACACACGCACACACGTCCAGACCACGTGGGAGGACCTGCATTAATGCTTTAAAATGATCCTGTGATGAAAAATGAAATGCAGCCAGTTCCCCTCTCATCCCAAACGTAGCCGATCAGCCAAAACACGTTTGGTGCCTGAAATATTACACTAAATAAACTGATTATGGTAAAACAGGTGAAACGCTGAATGACGGTGTCGCTCAGTGAAAAAGATTAACATGAATTCAGATCTGAGGGTTCTCATTAAGCTTGCACAGCCATAAATTGGATACGTATCTGATCTAGGAGAACATATGAAAGTGACTCAGATCTGATTTGAAAAGATCAGATTTGCATCCACACAGCTCTGGAAACATCACATCTGTGTCACATTAGGGCAAAAAATCTGATCTGGGCCAGGTTAGCCGGGTAATGTGAACGCAGCCCTAGATCAAATATGAATCTGATTTGTGGCCATGCAACGTTAATGAGAACACTCAGATCTGAATTCGCTGCGTTCACATTACCAGGCCAAAGTGGTGCAAATCAGATATTTTGCCTTAATGTAACACAGATGTGATGTTTCCAGAGCTGTGTGGATGCAAATCTGATCTTTTCAAATCAGATCTGAGTCACTTTCATATGTTCTCCTAGATCAGATACGTATCCAATTTATGGCTGTGCAAGCTTAATGAGAACCCTCAGATCTGAATTCATGTTTTTTTTCACTGTGTATGTGTGTTACCATGGCAACATTCAGTTGGGCGTGTATCACTCTCTGAGTCCATATTAAAATCCTATGTTTCACTGTGAGTGGATGGTAAAGCATTTGAATTGCAATTAGATTTTCTGAAAGGTGCTACAGAAGTATGTTTGCATGACTGATTGATTAAGCGTTACCGTGGCAACAGCATCAAACCTGAAGTTAGCGCCAGTAAATGCTGCAAAAGCGTCTGAGCCTTTTTCACCTCCGTCTCGCTCTAATAATAAAGCTGAGAGCTGATCAGAGTGAATGATCTCGGTGACGAAGGCTCGTTCTGCTCGTTAGTTTGTTGCTCATGGCGCATGTGTTTCATTCAGGTGACGTTACTGATTTTGATGTGTGTCATTTCAGGACGCTGGTTCACATTAATGACGGATTTCACTAGCTTATCTGCACAAACGTGAACCAGCAAGTTATGAAAATCAGATCTGAGCAAAAATCTGAATTGAGCAACAAGGCTTGTAATGTGAACGTACACCATACTGCCAAAAGTATTGGCTCGTCTGCCTTCATACACATATGAACTTGAGTGACCTCCCATTCTTAATCCATGGGGTTTAATATGATGTCGGCCCACCCTTTGCAGCTATAACAGTTTCAACTCTTCTGGGAAGGCTTTCCACAAGGGTTAGGAGTGTTTATGGGAATTTTTGACCTTCTTCCAGAAGCGCATTTGTGAGGTCAGACACTGATGTTGGACGAGAAGGCCTGGCTCGCATTATGACTTTGTTATAACACCACTGACAGTTGACTGTGGAATATTTAGAAATTTCACGACTGGATTTGTTGCACAGGTGGCATCCGATCACGGTACCACGCTGGAGTTCACTGAGCTCCTGAGAGCGACCCATTCTTTCACTAATGTCTGTAGAAGCAGTCTGCAGGCCTAGGTACTTGGCTTTATACACCTGTGGCCATGGAAGTGATTGGAACACCTGAATTCAATGATTTGGATGGGGGAGTGAACACTTTTGGCAGTATAGTGTAGCTCAGGAACACAGCTGAAAGTGGCTCAGATTTGAATTGAAAAAAAATCTGATTTGTGTTCACACAGCTTTGAAAAAATCAGATCTGTACCAGTTCAGCCTGGTAATGTAAACACAGCCTAAAGCTGCACCACACTGACTGATTTACTGTTTTAGAATACAGAATGAAAACAACACACATGATAAAATTATTAATAATGTAATTATTTATTAACTTACTGCACCATATGTGTGTGTGTGTGTGTGTGTGTGTGTGTGTATGCGTTTGGTGTGTGTGTACCCAGTCAGTGTGTTTGAGGTTGTCCAGTTCTGCAGCGTATCTCTCCTCCTGCGGCTCCTCAGTCTTGATCTTCTTCAGCATCTACAGGAAAACCATCAGTGCTGATCAGACAGCTGAGAGACTCTACAGCCCCATTACGAGCAGAAAGAGGAAACCTACAGATCAATAATCACTGCTTACACTGCACTCAGCTGCGCTCCTTCTGTTCAACACACACTGGAGCATCAAACATACCGGACAAAACAACTGCAGACGATTCAGAGGATTCACAGTCGGCTCTCTAACGCCTCCCTATCCTGCACATCAGCAGTTCTCAGACTGTTTCTAGTCCAAGGCCTCCTCTGTGGATGATCAGTGACACTGCTCTCTGTTCACTTTTGTTTTTCGGTCATTAAAGAGAGAGCGTCTATTTTTCTGCAGCTAAATGAAGAACAGAAGATGCTCACAAGATGATCAGTGTTTTCATCCAGTCAGACGCATCACATGTGCTGCTTGACACGCCCCCAACTCAGAAACTCAGGGCTCGTCAAAAAATCTGAGTTTTGCACTAGTAATTACGACGCTGTGGTGGCGTTAATTAGTGTTCATCTCATAAACACAATGTTTTCGACACAACGTAAGGACCGATTAGAGAACCGGCCTATACCCCATCCAGCCCTGCACCCCACACCCACACCCACACCCCACACCCACACCCCACACCCTAACCAACTTTGAACCTTGTACTTTATGTCCTACAATCAATCCAACCCTAGACACTTTATACTCTATCTGCCCTGCACCCTAAACCCTACACACACTGCACCCTACACTCTATACACCCTAAACCCTACACACACTGCACCCTACACTCTATACACCCTAAACCCTACACACACTGCACCCTACACTCTATACACCCTAAACCCTACACACACTGCACCCTACACTCTATACTCTATCCACCCTAAACCCTACACACACTGCACCCTACACTCTATACACCCTAAACCCTACACACACTGCACTCTACACTCTATACACCCTAAACCCTACACACACTGCACCCTACACTCTATACTCCATCCACTCTACACCCCACCCACACTGCACTCTACACTCTATACTCCATCCACTCTACACCCTACACACACTTCACCCTACACTCTATACTCTATCCACTCTACACCCCACACACACTGCACCCTACACTCTATACTCTATCCTCTCTACACCCCACCCACACTGCACCCTACACTCTATACTCTATCCTCTCTACACCCCACCCACACTGCACCCTACACTCTATACTCTATCCTCTCTACACCCCTACCCACACTGCACCCTACACTCTATACTCTATCCTCTCTACACTCCACCCACACTGCACCCTACACTCTATACTCTATCCTCTCTACACCCCACCCACACTGCACCCTACACTCTATACTCTATCCTCTCTACACCCCACCCACACTGCACCCTACACTCTATACTCTATCCTCTCTACACCCCACCCACACTGCACCCTACACTCTATACTCTATCCTCTCTACACCCCACCCACACTGCACCCTACACTCTATCCACTCTACACCTCCACCCTGTATATACCCACTGACCTCCTTGGCGTCTCTGATCCTGCAGAGGAAGGTCTGGAGCTCCAGGGTTTCCAGGAACAGCGCTCTGCACACGGCCTGGTAGTGTTCTGGAGCCAAGGCCGGGTTTGGCAGCCTGCGGGCACACAGCGCCATCACCTGGCGAAAAGTGCGTACTGCGCGCATGCTTCCCTCTTCCTCCTCCTCCTCCTCCTCCTCCTCCTCCGGGCCGCTGTAGCCCTCGTCCTTTGTGGTATTTCTGCCGCAGCCGCTGGAGTCTCCGCCCTCCTCCCCGCCCACCATGCGCTCGATCAGCCTCTCCAGCTGTGGACTCAGCTCCCGCTCCTCACTGTCCGCCAGCCCCCAGTCCAGTGCCCGGTAGATGGCCACGCCCAGGGCCTGGACCAGCTGAGGAACAAATAGATAAGCACTGTTCAGTATTGCTGAGGAGGAAAGGTGGAGTTCAGCTGTGCAGAGCCTGCAATTAATCATTATTTCTACTATTAATGAATCTATTGACTATTGTTCTACTAATCATCTAATCAATTCTGCCTTCTTCAAATTCTCTCTCGTCTGCCACCGGCGTTCAGAGTTTTATCTGTGCAACAAACAATTTCTTAAAGAGCTGTAAGCAAAAGTTTGAACACCCCTGGTCACTGAACATGTTTTGTTGATTTTCTAAAATAAAAAGTAAAAATAAGTACAAAACCTCAACAGAGAACAAATTTAATACGGCATTTATCTGCAAATCACAGCACACAATTTCTAATGTTTTGTTCACTTTAACATACTGGAAAACACAGCATAAAATATATTTTTATATTTGTCATATTTGCCTTTAGAATAGGCCACATTAATGTTCTGTTAAACTATAAACTATAAATAACTATAAATAAACAGTAATTTGTAACATCCTTGTTCTGTTCCCGTGTCTGTTGTTTACCTTTCCTCCAGCCATCTGCTTTTGTTCCTGTCTCCTTTCCTGTCCTCCTTTTTTGTTATCTGTCCCACCTGTGTTTTGTTTGTAGCTCCACCCTCTCATTAGGCTCAGGTGTTTCTTGTTTCCCCAAAGTGTATTTATACTCCAGGTGTTCTTGCATTACTGCTTGTTGCCGTCGCCTGTACTTCTTGTTTTCATCTGTCTTGTTGTAAGATTTTGGTTCTACTTCCTGTGAGTTTAGTTCTGTTTCTCTCCTGTTCATTTTCCCTTGTTTTGTTGTTCCTGTTTCATCACAGACATTTCTACTCTACTCACCTCAGCTACTCTTGGTTCTTGGACTCTGTGAAATCAGATTTATATAAAGGCTTGCACTTACGTCCAGCCTCATCGCCTCCAACGTTACATAAGTGTGCAATGAAATAACACTTCCTGTAGTGTATTACAGTCTGTCAGAGTGGCTGTGTGGATCATATGAACATTATAGAGGCTTTTTAAATGAAACAGTAGAAGCCATATCGCCCCCTACGCTTCCTGTAGTGTATTACAGTCTGTCAGAGTGGCTGTGTGGATCATATGAACATTATAGAGGCTTTTTAAATGAAACAGTAGAAGCCATATCGCCCCCTACGCTTCCTGTAGTGTATTACAGTCTGTCAGAGTGACTGTGTGGATCATATGAACATTATAGAGCTTTTTAAATGAAACAGTAGAAGCCATATCGCCCCCTACACTTCCTGTAGTGTATTACAGTCTGTCAGAGTGACTGTGTGGATCATATGAACATTATAGAGGCTTTTTAAATGAAACCGTAGAAGCCATATCGCCCCCTACACTTCCTGTAGTGTATTACAGTCTGTCAGAGTGACTGTGTGGATCATATGAACATTATAGAGGCTTTTTAAATGAAACAGTAGAAGCCATATCGCCCCCTACACTTCCTGTAGTGTATTACAGTCTGTCAGAATGACTGTGTGGATCATATGAACATCATAGAGCTTTTTAAATGAAACAGTAGAAGCCATATCGCCCCCTACGCTTCCTGTAGTGTACTACAGTCTGTTGGAGTGACTGTGTGGATCATATGAATGCTATAGAGCGTTATAGACACATTTTAATGTAGTAAAATCTGCCATAGTAACTGTGTGGTAAGTCTGGCTGGTGAAGAGGATGCAGACTCACCTGGCTCTCGAGGACAGGTGAGGCAGGTACAGCATCTCCATCAGCTAAAGCAGAAGAAGAACAGAGGAGAGTTACTGTGAAGTCTAAAAGCACCGAACTCTAGAGCTACACTCTTAAAAAAGATTGGTTCTTCAAGGGTTCCTTAGTAAAGACAGTGGTTCTGTATAGAACCACAAACACTTTACAAGAACTATTTGCATGATTAAAGGGTTCTTTGCACGGTGAAACGGTTCTTCAGATTGATGGAGAATGTGTTGTACATGGTTCTATATAGAACTTTTTTGAAAAGGGTTTTTTATATATACAGCACCAAAAAGGGTTCTGCTAAGGGCACTGAAGGAGAACCCTGCTGTCTCTGCGGAGTCTTAATCTGTGTTTGGAAGAAGACGTCTTTACACGAATGTAGTCGACCAGCTGAGACGTGTTTGGTGTCTGAAGTTCGCCTCATTAGTCTTAGCCCTGGAGCTACGAGGCTAATGTGGCCAAAAGGCAATGGAAGCTTACAGCCCACCAATTAGCATGGTGCTAGCTTCATGCCTACATCATCACTCCCACACCTCAAATGTGTCAGTGAAGTTGGCTTCCAATTCATCAGCAATTTTCTGTTCCACCCTAAATGGTGCAGTGGTTACATCCTGGCGCCTCCATTTAAGGTGGAAAAGAAAATTAAGAATAAGAATCTGATGAATATGAATAGGAACTCCAGCTTCATCCTCCAAACTGTGTGATGTTCAACCATCTCTGATAGACTTGATTATATAGTTTCTGACAAAGTATAATCAAAAATAAAAGCTGTTTGGAAACAGGATCACTGCAAAATCTCAGGGAGAAGTCGCTCATTTAGCAGTCGGTCTCAGTTTTGGAACTGTGACGGTCTCTGAGTGGTTTTCACAAGTGTTTAGTAAATTTCTGATTATCAGCACTAAAGTCAGAGTCAGAGTCAATCTGATGACTGTTTGAGACACGAGGGAAAGTTTTATACTGAACATGTCGCTCTGGGATTTAAATAGCCTTTTAAATGGAGGTAAACAGGATCCGAACGGTGGTTTTCTGAACTGGATTACTGACTGGATCTTCGCTAAAACTTCAAAAAGTCACTTTAGACACACAGGGTAAGTCCTGATGGTCAGCAAGATGTGTGAATTGTGTCGGTGTTTTAACTGTTTTGTTGCCAAATGAGGGCTAAAGCAGAGAGCTAACAGCAGGTTTACAGTGATCTGGCTGTGTGTTTGTGCTGTATCTCAGGGTTGTGGGATGTCAGAGCTGGTTTCTCACTCTGGCCAGTGATGGCCGGTTCCTCTGAGTGCTCTGATGTGAATCATGTCGCTGTTTTTAACCCTTTGTTTATAATATGAAGGCTAAAAGCAGAGATGTAATATAACAGTAGCGAGTGGGTTTGGGTGATTTTGGAGCTGGATCTCTGGCTGACTGATGGTCACAGGTGGATGAAATCGCTCTGGATGGTGAGGCGGAGTCTGATGATGATCTGATGTGTGAATCATGTTGTTGTTTTAACCCTTTGTTGGAATATGAAGGCCAAAAAGCTGAGCAATAATATCAGGATTTTGGGTAATTTTCCGAGCCAAATTACTCACAGATGCTGACGTCATAGCTCAATGACATCACACTAACTAATTAGGGGCGGGTCTGCTGAACATCCTGACATGTGAATCATGTCTGTACCTTAAACTGTTCTGAAGTTATGAAGACTAGAAGTGACCTACCGTTTTGGGCGCTCTGGGTCCTGAGGGTTAATTATGTCACTAAAAATATCACCTTAAATTAAAACTGAAAATCTAAATCATGGTACACTGATACAGACGATGTGTCGGTGCGGTCCAGATTACTCTGCCCCTCTTTTGCTGGACGCGTCTACAAAGTGATTTCTACAGCGCGGTGAGGCTGAGACAGTCCGGTTCAGCTGCAGTGCAGGTCTAACTGCTTTCATGTTATTGTGATGAAGCTGCTCTTCTACATTAGAAGCTGCTGAAAGATCCGGTTACTGAAGGATCACATAACAAACCCAGGAGACCAAACACAGCCCATCAGCACAACCTGAGCTCTAACACAGTCTCTCTCGCCCTCCCTCTCTCTCTCCACAAGGCCACCCTGAACAGATCAGATCTGAAGGACAAAGAGCCTCCCTGACACGCAGTACGGTTCTGTGAAAGGACAGAGAAAGAAGAACGTCAGTTAAAGCCTTCAGGACGAAACCAAACACAAAGCACGGAGTCGCTGGACCTGTTCTCTTCTCTTCTCTTCTCTTCTCTTCTGTTCTCTTCTCTTCTCTTCTCTTCTGTTCTCTTCTGTTCTGTTCTGTTCTGTTCTGTTCTCTTCTCTTCTCTTCTGTTCTCTTCTGTTCTCTTCTCTTCTGTTCTCTTCTGTTCTCTTCTGTTCTGTTCTCTTCTGTTCTGTTCTCTTCTCTTCTCTTCTGTTCTCTTCTGTTCTGTTCTCTTCTGTTCTCTTCTCTTCTGTTCTCTTCTCTTCTGTTCTCTTCTCTTCTCTTCTCTTCTCTTCTCTTCTGTTCTCTTCTCTTCTCTTCTGTTCTCTTCTGTTCTGTTCTCTTCTCTTCTCTTCTCTTCTCTTCTGTTCTGTTCTGTTCTGTTCTGTTCTGTTCTAAATCAGCGGACATAACAGGGAACTATCAGGGCTATTACAAAATCCTATTAGTACTATTACAAGGTCCTATCGGTACTATTGCAGGGTTCCATCAGTACTATTACGAGGTCCTATTAGTACTATTAGAACAACTACAAGGTTCTATCAGTTCTATTACAGGGTTCTATCGGTACTAATACAAATACAATACTAATACAATACAAAGCTCTCTCTGGGTGGGTAGGATGGCCCCCCCTCTCCCCCCCTCTCCCCCCATCACTCAGCGCGATGCTAGTCAGCGCAGGCGTCTGTTAGCTGACGTAGCAGATCTGGCGGTTGGCGCTTTCCTCCGAGCGCGTTCGGCTGTACAGTGACGCTGCGTGAGCAGCAGCTCGAAAAGAAGTGGTGGAGCTTCACAGGTCTCAGAGGAAGCCTGTTCTGCCTTCACCCTCCTAGTGCTGGTAGTATCGTGTGACTGGGGGAGACCTAACCAGCGGGTGGAACTGGAGACGACTAAATTGGGGAGAAAATTAAAAAAAAAAAAAGTTATCTAGACTTAATATCACTCTAAACTTTGGTTTACAATAGCTTACTCTCTCTCTCTCTCTCTCTCTCTCTGTCTCTCTCTCTGTCTCTCTCTCTCTCTGTCTCTCTCTCTGTCTCTCTCTCTCTCTCTCGCTCTCTCTCTGGTTTTCTCTTCTCTCTCTGCATTTTCTCTCTCTCTCTCTCTCTCTCTCTCCTCCTTACTGTACTTCTTCTCTCTCCTCTCTACTTTCTCTAGGCAGACTTTGTCATCTGTTGCCATGGAAATCTGTACGTGGGATGCAAAAGCAGCAAAGAGCAAGAAACAAGAGTGGGGGGCAGTAAGAGGCACAGGAGGGTCATTCTGACCAAATGCATAATAACACACTCTAACACACTCTAACACACTAACGCACACAAAAACACACTAACGCACACTCTAACACACACAAACACACTCTAACACACTAACGCACACAAAAACACACTAACGCACACAAACACACACTAACACACAAACACACTCTAACACACACAAACACACACTAACATACACAAACACACACAAACACACTCTAACGCACACAAACGCACACAAACACACACTAACACACATAAACGCACACAAACACACACTAACACACACTAACGCACACAAACACACTCTAACGCACACAAACACACACTAACACACTCTAACACACACAAACACACACTAACACACAAACACACTCTAACACACACAAACACACACTAACATACACAAACATACACAAACACACACTAACATACACAAACACACACAAACACACACAAACACACTCTAACACACACAAACACACACTAACATACACAAACATACACAAACACACACTAACATACACAAACACACACTAACACACAAACACACACAAACACACTCTAACATACACAAACACACACAAACACACTAACACACACAAACACACACTAACATACACAAACACACACAAACACACACTAACACACAAACATACACAAACACACACTAACATACACAAACACACACAAACACACACAAACACACACTAACATACACAAACACACCCAAACACACACTAACACACAAACACACACAAACACACTCTAACACACAAACACACACAAACACACTCTAACATACACAAACACACACAAACACACACTAACATACACAAACACACACAAACACACACTAACATACACAAACACACACTAACACACACAAACACACTCTAACATACACAAACACACACAAACACACACTAACATACACAAACACACACAAACACACACTAACATACACAAACACACACAAACACACACTAACATACACAAACACACACAAACACACACAAACACACACAAACACACTCTAACATACACAAACACACACAAACACACACTAACATACACAAACACACACAAACACACACTAACATACACAAACACACACTAACACACTAACATACACAAACACACTAACATACACAAACACAAACACACGCTAACATACACAAACACACACAAACACACACAAACATACACAAACACACACAAACACACACTAACATACACAAACACACACAAACACACACAAACACACACAAACATACACAAACACACACAAACACACACTAACACACTCTAACTAACCAGGTGTCTGGTTTAGATCATTAACAGTGTTTTCAGTGAAAGACGGTAAATAAGAGACGCTGTTTATACATGATCATTTTTACAGTAATCAATACTACACACCAGTACACACCAGTACACACCAGTACACAACAGTACACAACAGTACACACCAGTACACAACAGTACACAACAGTACACACCAGTACACAACAGTACACAACAGTACACACCAGTTCACACCTGTTCACACCTGTTCACACCAGTACAC